GTGTGTGTGTGTGTGTGTGTGTGTGTGTGTGTGTGTGTGTGTGTGTGTGTGTGTGTGTCTGTGTGTGTGTGTGTGTCTGTGTGTGTGTGTGTGTGTCTGTGTGTGTGTGTGTGTGTCTGTGTGTGTGTGTGTGTGTCCCTGTGTGTGTCTGTGTCTGTGTGTGTCTCTGACTCTGTCCCTCTGCCCCTCCGCCTCTCTGCGTCTTCACCTTTCCCTTTACCCCCCTCCAAACACCTGCACCACCTCATTCCTCCTTCTCTCCCCCCCCCCCACCTCCTCCTCTCCCCTCGGAACCAGGCGAGTGCAAGCAGTCGATGAAGGTGTTCTTGGAGTGCCTGCGGAAGAACAACAACAACGGGCGCAAGTGCCGTGTAGAGTCCAAGGCATACCTCCAGTGCCGGATGGAGAAGCAGCTCATGGCAAAGGAAGACTGGGCCAAGCTCGGATACGCGCAAACACCAGACACAGCACCAACAGCAGCATCTGCACCACAACAACAGCAACAACCGAGCAGGACGGCATCGTCGCAATAGCTGTTGTCAACCCCGCCATCCCTTGCTCGCTTGCTACACTTCGCTCGCTTGTGTCTGCATACCTGTTTGCTTGCTTGCTTGCTTGTCTGTCTGCCTGTATTGTGTTCTCCACCCCGCCCCCTCCTTGGGTTGATAGTGTGCCCAGACTTGCTTGCAACGCTTGCTTGCAACGCATGCTTGCTGCGGCCCTGACATTGTTGGTGTGCCTTGCGTGCCTTTATTCATCGCCTGTTCTTAACTGTCTACGCGCTTCTGTACACACACGCGCACGTGCACCTGCAAAGACCATAGTTCGCTCATCATCCAATAAACATCCTGACCCAACACAGCCACAGCCAACGGAGCAGCCAAAAGCACCTGCCCACTGGTTTGTTACATCCATACATGCGACGCTGCTATGAATCAAACAAATCAAACACAGCAGCATCACCACCAACACCACCACCACTGCTGCTGCTGTCGCCTTGCTCTGGTTCAGATGCAATACTGCCCGCTTCCGCTGCCCTTGACTTGCAGCTCGCTGCCTGCTGCTTCTGCTGTGTGTACGTGTGTGGGGGGGGGGGGGTTGGATGAATCGATGTCAGTGGCAACGGCAACGCAGATAAGCAAGATCAGCCGGCAATTGACACACACACACACACACACACACACACACACACACACACACACACACACACACACACACATGACCACACACATGACCACACACATGACCACACACACATGACCACACACATGACCACACACATGCGCACATACATAAACATGCGCACACACGCACGCACAGGCACACGCACGCACACGTACACATGCATCACATCACACTGCGCACCGCCGCCAAGCCGCGCTGCCTCTTGAGTTCCTTTGCGCGGGCCTTTTCCTCGGCCTTCATCTTGGCATCCTCGAGCTGCTTGAAGAACGCCGCAATCGCAGCAGTCACGCGGGCGATGCGCGCAAAGTTGGTGGCAAACATGCTGTTGGTCAGCGCAACGAGATGCTCCACATAGGGACGGTCGACCATCAGCACGCCGTCATGGGCCACCGGCACCTCCAGTCGCAGTGTGGTGCGCACGGCAACCATGAACTTCTTCCCAAGCACCATCCCAGAGTTCCTGCCCCATCAGTGCATGTATGTGTGTGTGTGTGCATGTATGTGTTGTGTGTGTGTGTGTGTGTGTGTGTGTGTGTGTGTGTGTGTGTGTGTGTGTGTGTGTGTGTGTGTGTGTGTGTGTAGTACGTACGT